AGCATGTATATTCCTGGAGTTTGTAAAAGGACCACCTCCCTATCAGCCTCTGAGATATGGACCGGGAAAGGAAGTGCGAAGGGGAAGACAGAGGACTAAGCCTGGTGTTACAGCTGAGATCTGCAGTAGTCCAATTAAGTAGCTCTGTACTGTGGCTACAGACAGAGAAGCCATGACTCAACTAGTGTGGTGACCTGTTCTGATATTTGCTGTCTCCTCACTTCTTGACTGTTGCGTTCTGCTTTTCAGGGTTGGTTCTTTGTTTTTTGTCACCACAAACCAGTGTTTTTCCAGTGTCTCTGCAATTGAGTTGTTCATCAGAGACAAGAAGTTATTTGTGTAAGTAATTTGGGATTTTTCCCCTTGCCTCTCTCTGTGTTGGGGGAAGAGGTGGTGGGAAGGGACAACATACAGATATCTTGCAGGATAACCAAAATGACTTTAACTTGTCAGTGTTTAAGAGCTGACTTCTCCCTTGCAACAATGGATTCTAACAGTAACACTGTCTGCCCATAAAATAGGGAGAAAATATGGAAAGAGGCAAGTGATGGGGAGAAGAAAGGAAAATAAAATCCTTTTATTTGCCTGCTGCATCATGGGTACTTGGGAAGAACTTGTCTTACTTTTGTTAACATCTAGTTTGATGTCTGTTTGGCCCTGCCAGGGCAGAGCCTGCCTTTACACTTTCAGGTATGAAAAGTTACCCATCAATGATCCCACAGGGGTAAGAAGATGCAGAGATGAAGGGATTATTGGAGAAGTTTCACAAAGGATGCTGAAAGGGAGAAAGCTTCTGGCTGCTTTCTAAAAGTTCCCTAGCAGAGTCAAGTGCACCCCTATGAATGGGTAGAAAATGTAGTTTGGAATAACTTCCAGTTTACTGGATGAGAGAGCAAGAGACATGTTCTGCAGTAAAAAGGAAACTAAGGCTTAGAGCCTGTAAAATGAGTATCACTTCCATAAGGCACTAACATGAGAGTCCTGAAGTTTAGATGTACCATAGGTTTACCAGAGCTTGCTCAGAGCAGCTCAGTATTGACTCCAGGGGATGTCCAGGATTAAAGCCTCCTGCCCAACATTTCTTGTCAGGCTGCCTTGCTTACCACCTTAAGTTTACGGTCTGTGACAGCAGGGATTTTGGCTGCTTAGCAGCCACAGCCTTTCAGTTACCTCCAAGTGTTTTTGGTGTCACTGCTAGGGGCCTGAGATCAGCATTTGCCCTTATTTGACAGATGAGGAAGTGATACCACCAAAAAAAAAAAAATCTAACTTGCACAGAGAGGGAGTCAGTGGCAAAGAACAGAAGCTGAACCAGGACAAACCACATGCATGTACTATCATTCCTACATCACCTCTAACCCTATACAACTCCTCTTTCCTGTCCTTGCAGCCATCAGTACACCAGTGGATACTACCGTGTATCTGCCTACTTCCTGGCCTTGATGATAGGAGATCTGTTGCCCATGAGAACTGCTCCAGCCATCATATTCTCATGCATCACTTACTGGATGATTGGTAAAGAATTGATGCTTTCATTGAACCTGTCATCTTCCAACATGCTTGATTTGTGGCTCAGCCAGAGTTAATTCCTACATCCATACAACAAAGCTGGCTAAATAAGTGCCTGACATCAGAATAGCTTTGGAGGACTCTGGGATGGGGCAGAGACACCCTCAATCTAAGGCAGCAAGTCGCTTGACCATGCCAAAGTTTGCTGGGGTATACACAATTGCTGCATCTCCAAACTGTTTCTTTTCCAGCTTTCCATGACTTCTGCAGGAGACTAAAGGGATTCATGATGTGGCTATTTATTAGGCTTTTGCCTTTCTGATTGTTTTTTGGTCAGGCTACCAGGCTGTTGCAGGCCGGTTCTTCTTCTTCATGCTGACCCTGGTACTGGTATCCTACACTGCCACCACCATGTCTCTGGCCATCAGTGCTGGGATGGAAGTAGTGGCTGTGGCCAATCTGCTCATCACTATTTGTTTTGTCCTGATGCTTGTAAGTGTATAAGAGTCTGTGTCTGTGTGTGTGCTGCTTTAGTGGTGGAGGTGATGCAAGAACTGACAGCCAGCTGGGTTTAGGAGACAAGGTGAGAAGACTGGAATGAACCAGCCATAAGTAGGCTGAAAATCCTCAGTCCTGAGATCAAGTGTGAAATTATCACTCAGATGCAATTCTGTTGACTCATGCCACCAGAACTGTGTAAACCTGGTGTCCCCCAAAGTGTTCTCTTAAAAATTTTCTTTACAAAAAA